TGAGATAGAGAATGGAAACCACTCCAAAAGCTGGGAGTGCAGAAAGGGATGTAGGAACCTAACTGCTTCTTCAGCACCTTCCAAGTCATCCTGATTCCAGCCATTCCTTCTTTATCCCTTCAATCCTAAAGCCTCTAAGGATTCTGCTAAATTGGGCTGATTCTTGGCTTCCCACGCGACTGACTTGCTAGGTCACCTCCATGCACTTTCTGTTTTTAGGGAGACTTGCTCTCTCTGTGAGCTACGCATGCCTCTTCTTTTGTGATGGAGAGTGGCCGCTGCCTTTGTCCTGTGTGCCACCTTTCCCTTACCATCTCCCCACCAGCACGTCAGGCACTTCAACTCCACCGGCTAAACGCTGAACCCAGCCTCTTTCAAATACTGCACGTGGTCTCCTTCCACCTGCTCTGTTTATGGAACCACCATTCTTTCCATGTGTCAGCCTCCAAGAATGGGAATCATTTCAGTAACTCCTCCTTTTGTCACACAAATCCTTTCTTTCAGGGAGACCTGGCTTTTTATTTTTCACAAAACTCAGTACACACTTGTGGAAGTCCTACTTTGTATTCCTTGTCGAAGAAACAAAGATAACGAGATGTGACCATCAGAAACTCCCAGGGAGTGGCAGGGAGAAAAACAGACACTGACTGATTGATGATGATGGTCATGGTGACGGTGACAATGACAGTGGATGAAAAATCATAGCTAATGTTCAGATTGGCACAACGCCAGCCACTGTGCTCAATACTCTACTGTTCTCTTTCACTTAACCCTAACTACACTCTGAAATCATAATTGTTGTTTTAGTCACAAGGAAACGGGTAGTGAGGCAACAGAACTTTCCAGAGACACTATATGTAATAAGTGTATAAACCAAAGGGCTAAGAGAAACCAGGAACAGTAGAAAATCAGTGCCTAACTCAAAAACCAAAGAAAGCTTGAAAAGATGGTTTTCCACATTTGCTCTTTCCTTTGGATTTCTCTTTGATACCACCCCACACTCGGCTCTTTTCATCTCCTTGCTTAATTCAGAGGATCAACTCTTAGCAAGTCTCTGCACAAAACTCGTGTCATGTTCCCTGTTTGCTGCCAGCAGGGGAGGCTTTCTGGAGTATTGCTGCCATCCTGCCATTTGCTGCTCGAGAACCTACCCGCATCGCCAATCAGGTCACATTTGGTCTTCTGTGCCTACTTTCAAAAGCCCCAGGAACCTCATCACATATGCCATTTCCATCTCCAAATCCACTGCATGGGCCTCCCCACTGCCTTTTGCACAAGCCCCATAATCTCTCCTACCGTTTTGCTTTTACTAAGCTGTCCCCTAATTTCCACCACCTCCCATGTCCGCATTTCTCCCCCCAGCCTTTCCTGGCGGCTCCACTGCACTCGGATTGCTGCTCCTCCCAAACTCCCACCATGCTTAGAACTGATTGCTTTCCTAGCCTTTGGGTCCTCACCATGTACAACCTGAAGTAATGTCAATGCTCTCTTGCCCAACAAATAAATTAGCCATGTACCTTAGGCGCCAGCAAAGCAGGTGCACCAAAATATTCTCTTTAGAAAGAATTTGTTTCAAAAAGTCATTCGGGGGGAAAATTAGAATTCATGTGAAGGGTCTTGTTTCCGGCTATTGTTTCTGTTTTGATACATGATCTTTATATAGTGCTTAGAAGTGGTCAATTTCTTAACTCCATCTCTGGCTGTTGTTAGTTTTCATCTTAGAAGGTTCTTGGGTTAGGAGTGCCTGGCTGCCTCGGATGGTAGAACATGTGACTCTTGACCTCTGGGTTGTAAGTTCGAGACCTACCTTGCATGTAAAAATTACTTAAAAATTTTAGTTACAAACAGAAAGGAAGGGAGGCAAACCATAAGAGACTCTTAAATACAGAGAACAAGCTGAGGGTTGATGGTGGGGAGGGGAAAACGAGTGAGGGACACTGAGGAGGGCACTTGTTGGGTCGAGCACTGTGTGTTGTATTTAAGCGATGAATCATGGGAATCTACCCCCAAAACCAAGAGCACACTGTATACACTGTATGTTAGCCAACTTGACAATAAATTATATTAAATAAATAAATAAATAAATAAATAAATAAAATCTTTAAACAAAGAAGATTCTTGGGTAAATGTCTTATATAATATTCATATAATTGTGTCCCAGATAGACCCTTATTTAACATAGGATATATTTAGTAAATATATGCATCATATATTCCTGAGATAAAAAATTATAATACAGTATTTAAATGCCATATTTCATTGACTATTTGATGTCATAGATTATAAAATGTACTGTTATGTACCACAAAAATAGAAAATAATGCCACCAATTTAACCATGATGTGCCAGTGAATGTAAGTTGCATTTCAGTTTCAGAAGTGTTAAAAGGTGAATGAATACATGTGCATCTTAGATTTGATTAAATATGTACACTGTAGTCTTATAATACATTCGTATTAAGCATCTTAAAGTTCTCAGTGATATTTATAACTCATATTTTTATTTTTATTTGTTTCATTTGTTTTATTTTTTTAAATGTTTTATTTATTCTTAAGAGAGGGAGGGGGGTACCTAGGTAGCTCTGTCGGTTGAGCATCCGACTTCAGCTCAGGTCACGATCTCACGGTTCGTGGGTTTGAGCCCTGTGTCGGGCTCTGTGCTGACAGCTAGCTCAGAGCCTGGAGCCTGCTTCGGATTCTGTATCTCCCTCTCTCTCTGACCCTCCCCTGCTCACGCTGTCTCTCTCTCTCAGAAATAAATAAAACATTAAAAATTTAAAAAAAAAGAGAGAGAGAGGGAGAGAGCATGAGCAGGAGAGGAGCAGAGCGAGAGAAGGACACAGAATCTGAAGCAGGCTCCAGGCTCTGAGCTGTCAGCACAGAGCCTGACGCAGAGCTTTAACCCACGAACTGTGAGGTCATGACCTGAGCCGAAGTTGGACACTTAACCAACTGAGCCACCTAGGCGCCCCATGTAACTCACATTTTTAAAAGTCAGGCCATGTGCCTCTATATGCAAGTCACTGTGTCAGAAGATAACAACATGTGGATAAACTATGGTGAAGTCATGACCTGTCCCTACTAAAGTTTACAGTCCAATGGTGGGAACGTTATATAAATGAATCACTATAATGAAGGCAAAAAGTGATCAGAGCCATCCAAGAAGTTAAAGATTCCATAGAGATGAAAACAGTGGAGTAATTACCTTTTGTTGGTGTTTTAAAAAAATCTCACCGGGGGAGGTGGTGTGCAATGAGGTTTGAAGGATCAGTAGAATTTTGCAAGCCAACTGGGAGAAATAATATGTGCAAAGGCAAAGAAACAGGAAAAATGTAAGCATTTTTAGAAAAAAGTGAAAAATCCAGATTAGCTGGAAGTAGTCATAGCTAGAGAAGCTTCAGAGCTAATCCAGCAGACCCCCTGGGGCCCTGTGGTAGAAGGCCCTGACTGCCGAGCTGAGGACATTAAAGGACATTGGTTGGCCGTGCAGAACCACTTAAGGCTTCCTAACAAGGAGATGGCTTGTTGAGCACTCCATCTCTGTGGATCCCAGTTTAAATGCTCTCTCCTCAAGGTCCATTCCCCCCTCGTAAGTAGGGTCTTACCTGTAACTCCAAATTGCCACATCCATTTGGTTTCCTACAATACACTTGGCACATGGCAAGTCTACCAACCTTGTGGCAGATTCCAAGTTCTTTAAACACCAAGAAATCCAGAATACTCACTCGTTTGTACATAGGGCTGACATTGTATAAGGTATACACTGTGGGGCTGTCCCATTCACTGCAGTTTCCTGGAGCCTGGCACACAGTAGGAATTCAGTGATTTCACCGAATAATACTCCATCATTTCCTGTCTTCTCATTGTCATGTTCCCTCTACCCAAAAGGCCCTTCCACCACATCTCACCATCGTTATTTTTCCATCTGCCACAGATTCTCTGAAATGTCAGCAAATGCCTGCCAGCCCAGTGACACAACCTCGAGGTCCTGAGATTTTTTTTGTGTTCTTCTGAGGGCATTATTCATACCCTGCATAATATTTTAGTGACTTGTAAACTCTTTTTGTCTCCTTGCCCACCCCAGCCAGATGGCTAGCTCCCTGGGGCCATGGACTTTGCCTTTCTCGTGTCTTCCTTACCAAATAACATTTGAGTTGAATTATGAACACTGTGGTCAAAATTAAGAATAATAGAATCATCTGACATTTCAGCAATATATTCGATTTTAAGGAATAATTAATCAATAAGAAATCATACTGAGTGAAAAAACATTATAGGACTATGAAACTGAATTACCAAAAGGGTAAAACCATTCCATTATTGTATGACAAACTTGAGACAGAATTCATTATCTCACAAAGTAATTTACTTGGGAGTGGACTAAGAGCATTTCCTGAGAATGTCGCATCTTGATAAAAGTGAATTATTCTAGTCGTCACAGAGAAGTTGCTAAGAATCTGAACATTAGCTTTACGTTCTCAAATCTTACACAGCACTGTTTTCACTAAGCAAAGTTATTTTCTAAATTATGTATTTTATTAAGATATTACACATTGTATTCATTGAAGGGAGCAAATTCCCTGAATTTTTTTCTGTTTAGTTGAAACTTTACCCATCAGAGAAGAGTGTGACGTCATGTGATGTTTACCAACAATAATAAAAACAACAGTAGCTTTTGGTTATTGAACAATCCCAGCATGCCCTGCATGTGATAAACTGCTTACATGTTGTGCTATTTAAATGTCACTACAACCTTTTTATAGAGGAAATCACTGAAATTGGGTGGTTGTTCATTGATTGCTGATTGTCAGCAGCTGGCTGCAAACCTAGGCCTGGCAAGTCCAAAGACACTCATCTTCCCAGGCCGGGGACTCTCATCCCCCACCTAACTGCCTCACACCCCCTCCAGACATGCTGTCCGCTGTCACTTTCAAGATACAACTTGGCTGTGAACAGGAGGCAACTTGCAGACTCAATCTGTATCTTTTTTTGTTGTTGCAGGAAGAGAAGTTAAACTTCAGAGAAACCCAATGGACAATCTCCACAACAGGTAAGCCCATTTCTTTTCCTTTTTACGCTTTGGGGGGAAAAGTCTGTTCTTTCCATTTTCCATTAAATTTTCTATTACTGGGTCCTTCACTACGGCTTTTATTACCTGACTCACAAAAGTCAGTAGACAGGGCAGTCCCTGAGGTCTATTTCATTCTGGCTTCGTTCAGGTTTGCGCAGAATTTTGTTGTTTCCTTTTTAGTTGTGTGGTTCCGGGCTGCAGTTCTGAAACATGTGAGATGAGCATGACCCAACTGAGTCTTCACACTGAAAGATTCACAATATGAGGAACTGAAACAAGATGGCAGACGTTGCCTTGTTTGAGCTTAGTGAGAAATGTGTGCCTCAGACACTACAGTTTTTTGCTACTCAGCCCTTGTCTACAAATGACTGCAAAAGCATGCTGAATATTCATTTGGGGATTGCAAATAAATTTTCGCAAGTTAGACAGTTCACCAATACGGAAGCCACAAATAATGAGAGTCAATTATACCCATAAAGCATGGTGATTAACACCAGGTACTTAGGAAGCTCTGTGTAAGTTTGATATTTTTGTCATCATCGTCATTGTTAAATGTTATTAAACACCCTGAGGGCATTGGGCACCTTTGAGAAGTCTCAGGGGGAATGATGTGATTCAGATTTGTGTCCTAAAAAGATCACATGACTTTCATGTGGTGAATGTATTGGGTAGATGCAGTTGACAGGAGGAACTTCAGTAATTCAAATAAGAAAGAGGTGATATGGGGCACTTGGGTGGTTCATTTGGTTAAGTATCTGTCTGTTGATTTCAGCTGAGGCCATGATCTCAAGGTTCGTGAGTTTGAGCCCCGCATCTGGCTTCGTACTGACAGTGTGGAGCCCGCTTGGGATTCCCTCTTCCTTTCTCTCTCTCTGCCCCTCCCCTGCTCACTTTCTCCATCTCTCAAAGTAAATAAACTTAAAAAAAGAGGTGATAATGTTGTAGGATGGGAGCAATGGCAGTGCACATGGAGAGAAAGGGTGGGTCTAAGACAGTATAAGAGGTAGCATTCCTGCCTTCGTGTTGCATTCACCCTGGAATGTGGTTTGGAACTCCACCAGCACCATTATCTGCTCACTTTTGCCCACAAGCTCTTTCTAATCTTCCTAAGATTACTCAGGTGCTCCTTATGTAACATCGTATGACGTATTTCAATCCCATAACACTAGAATAGTCATCTGCTTCTATATTATTGATGTATTTTTTGCTTGCTAGACTGTAAACTCTCTCCAAATCCCTGGAATTGAGTTCAATAGTTGGCACATAATAGGTGCTCCAAAAATGTATGTTGCGTGAATGGGTGGCAAGCCCTTTAGCAAAATGGCAGAGATCTCTGTCTCTTTGTGTCCTGATAACTAGCAGAGTGTGTTGCCCCGAGTTCATGCTTTGGGTTTATTGAGGCCTTAGAATCATGTTCAGTCTTTTCATGTGCACAGATTGTTTTTACTATACTTTCAAAAAACATTGGGGATTCAATTCTGCTATGCAGGGCCATCTATAAGTATGAGACAGTCTGTTTTTTCTTATCCTCTGACCAGTTCACCCTTCTGGCCTTGAGTCCTGAGCACTTTTATAAAATGAGGTAATTGAGTGGGATGTTCTCTAAGATTCTTTGTGGTTTGAGCACTCTAGGATACTGGGATTTACCTACAACTAGTTGATTTCAAGCATCCAGCCCTGAGCTCTGCTTCATTATTGGGATGCCTGGGTGGCTCAGTTGGTTTTAAGCATCTGACACTTGATCTCAGCTCAGATCTTGTATCTCAGGGTTGTGAGTTCAAGCCCCATGTTGGGTTTCATGCTGAGCATGAAGCCTACTTAAAAAATAAAGAAAAGAAAAAAGAAAGCTATCATTATTTGTAGCCTTACAAGATTGTGTTGTATAAACTTTTGTCCACATTTCCTCCTCTTAGGCTTCCTCATCATTTCTAGAACTTAGCTTTTTCTAAATGCTTCAAGTTTCTTCCAGATTTCTTCCACCTCCCAGATAAAACTACTTACCAAATAAGAAGCATACCATGTGTTGGAGATCCACCCTGATTCCCATGGCTTTCCAGGGAGGATTTGGTCAGAAACACTGGTATCTACTCACAGTGTCTAGAATCAGTAGCACCCAGTGGTTAAAGAATAGTCTCATAGATAATGACAGTGAACATGAGGACAGTCAACATTTAAGAACCTACTACTTGCCAGACACACTTTGCCAAGCTTATTACACATTTTAATTATGCAATCTTAATAGGAACCCTGCAGGATTAGGTGTTACTATTTTCCCCATTTCATAGTTGGCAAAAGTGAAGTGACTTAAGATCACCTGGCTTTTAAGCGGGCCAACCCAGATTTTGATGCCAGGGCCCTTTCCTCTAATTACAACACTATATCGACTTCTATGTGCTGGATAGTCAGGTTCTTCCTCCTCTTCTCCTAGACCTCCTGCATGAGTCTGTACGTGTTCTCTGACTAGTCCTTCTGGTACAATGGCCAGAAAAATGAAAGCAATTGTGTGCTAATGCCAAAGGTGTCTCTTGGGTTTCTAAGCGGATGCCCTTCCAAAGACTGCATGCCTTCCTATGAAGCTTGACCCAAAGTTGGTAGGTCAGCCCAACAAAGTGAGTCGAGAAGAGTTTTGTCAGATGATACTGTTACCATGGTGGTCAAGGGTATGATAGAAGGGGGTCCACTGATCCCCATGAAAAAGACAGAACTGCACATGGTAAGTAAAAACACATCATCTTCATTTCAGATTTTTAAAATCTTCTCAAAGAAACTGTGTTTCCATTATCTAAAGATTCTCTGAAATGTGCTGTTCATATTCTTGAAACATGAACAAGTCATTCAGAGGGTCATGGTTTATTCTCCATCTTCAGTTTGGTCTGAATCTTGTTGCTGCGGTGATTTTCCCTGCACAGGGATTGTTTGGGTTGGTTTTCAATGTCATGTTCTATTGGTTCATCAGTGAACGAGATTTTACCCAAGTAGCAGAATTTAGGGGAAATATCCAACTCCACATCAATGATGAAAGTCTGTTATTTTACATAAGATTATATATATATTAGCTGAGAGCTATATGATTCAAGTCACTGTCACCTCAGAGCTGTCTGTAATAATCCGCATAACTTCCTCAACATATACTTCAAAAGCACATTAATAAGCACATAGTGATATCTGGTTTATCAGTGCTAAGAGTTGTAGATATTTGTCTTACGCTGTTGAATTGGAGCCTCATTGAAGCATTTAGGGACATATTAAAAATCAGCTTCCTGGAGCACGTGGGTGGCTCAGTCAGTTAAGCATCTGACTCTTGATTTTGGCTCAGGTCATGAACTCACAGTTTGTGAGTTCAAACCCTGCATCAGGTTCCCCTGCTTGAGATTTTCTCCCTTCTCTCTTTCTGCTTCTCCCCTGCTTGCACACGTTCTCTCTCTCTCCCAAAATAAAGAAATAAATATTTTTAAATTTTTCTGAAAAAAAAAAAAAATAGCTTCCTGACACTATATTGATGATGGGAATTGGGTTCATACAGCCTGGCACCTCTATTAACAATAGGGAATAACTTCCTTATTTTAGCAGCCAGGAAGAACATTTAAGCTTACTTATTAACCACTATCGCCCACACCCATTGGAGATGTTGAGTATTTTCATGAGATTACTGAAAATAGCATGAAGGTTCTTATGCCCCTATACCTTGTCCAGTGGCAGTTTTAAAATACCAGTCTATAGGAGGGGTTTAAGAGCTTGGAAGGGAAAATAGGAGACTTGTCTGGAAGTTCCACTGTACAGGAAACAGACTGATTTGGGGTGGGTAGGGGAAGAGAACTTGATGGAGATGATGAAGGGGCTAAAGTCCCTTCTCAACCACCACGGACATCCGTGTGACCCGCCCTGGGTCAGGTGCGCAGCCAGCAACAACATGTATGTTAGATAATACCAATTTTTGCAGAGTCCAATACTGTTGCTGTATATTCTTCAGTAACTTAGCTAATAAGCCTTTGGCCAGGATATTCTCTATGTTAGGCTAGGTCCAGTCAGAAATGGGAACCCTTCCTTTCAAACAGAGGGAAGTTATAGTCAGTAGGTTATGCAGGTATTGGCAGAGCTGGGAAACCAAATGGTGAGACAACACAGAGATGGTCAAAGTAGGAAGACACTACCACCCTCGGGTAAGACATGGAACCCGATGCTGGAGCAGTAGCTGGAAACACGGAGGGCAGAGCTGTTTGCATCTAGGGCTGTGAAGGAGATCTGGCCAATCTTAGGATGGGCAGGATACTGTCTAAGCAGAGAGAAAAAGGGAGAAATATCTGTCTTCTTCCATCTCCCCTCTCTGGTCTTCCACCAGGACCTTCCATTGGTGGAACCCACCCTGATCCAGATGGCAGGGGCTTCTCAGCTTTGTGGTGCCCTGGGAAACTGAGGCAGCAGAAAGGCAAGGACTGATCTAAGAGCAAACAGGCAGTGGAGCCGTCCAGTGTCAGATTTGTTCACTCATTTCCCAATTAGTAAACACTAGGTAGTTCAAATTAATCCCATATTTCCAGACACTTGGTTATTTTAACATTTTGCTGTTACAACACCCATAGAGAAGGATAAAAGACCAAATATGATTTAGAAACTGCTTAGAAGTAAATTCTGAGAAACAAAATGTTTATAAACTTAAGACGATTGAAGGAGCACCTGGGTGGCTCAGTCAGTTAAGCATTCATTGTAGGCTCAGGTCATGACCTCACGGTTCATAAGTTTGAGTCCCATGTTGGGCTCCGTGCTGACAGCTCAGAGCCTGGATCCTGCTTCGGATTCTGTGTCTCTCTCTCTGCCCCTCCCCCACTCATGCTCTGTCTATCTCTGCCTTTCAAAAATAAATAAATGTAATGAAAAAAATTTTTAAAGAAAAAAAGAGGATTGGAAAACTACCCCGATCATTCAGTAATGAATTACATCTCATTTCCAGACAGAAGTCTACGCTTAGGAATTTACACTTC